CTGCTGCTCCTACTTGCTGCTGCTCTACGTTGCGCCGCTACTGCTACTGCTTGCTGCTGTCTCCGTGCTTGCCAGTCGTGCATGCTGGCCGCGTTCCCCCATGCCACGCTTGCCGCATCTTGGCCACGCCATGGCCATGGCCATGTGCCTGTGTGCTTGTGCGTGATGCACAAGCACATCATGGCCGGCTTGTGCCACTGCACATGGCCCAGGCCAAGTTAATTAGTGCCGAATTAAAGGTTAGTTAGGGGTAATTAGTGGTAGGTTAGCTAGTAATCTATGGCATGTGGGACCAGCTAGCTAATTAGTAAACTAAAAGAATAGATAAATTCAGTTACAAATTGTGCATATGACATGTAGGCCCCACTTGTTAGCTGACCAGTCAACAGTCACTGTTGACTGCTGACTGGGCAGTTGACCCAGTCAACTGTCCCCACCTGTCAACCTCAGGTGCACATTTCTGGGTACACTTCCTGTGTACCCGTAGCATTTAAATACTAATTTAGTTTTGAATTAAATTAAATCCAGAAATTAGAAAATCATTTAAAACTTTAAAAATTAATATTAAATAAACCGTATCTCAGATGAAAATACTTTGTACATGAAAGTTGCTCAGAATTTCGAGACGAATCCGAATACGCAGTCTGTTCATTCGCCACGCGTCCCTAGCATAGTGAACCTACAACCTTCCCCCTCCGGTCGTTTGTCTGAAAACACAAAACACCGGGAATACTTTCCGAGATGTTTCCCCCCTTTGCCGGTAGCGCCTAATACTGCGTAAGGTCACCCCTAGCACCGCATTTTTCCATGTTATGCTTTGATTTCTCTATTATTTATTTGTGTATTTGTGTTCCCCCTACGTTACTTCTTTCCGGTAGACCTCGTGACCACCGACAATACCCCCGTGATCGACTACATCGACGACGACCCCTCCTTCTTCCCAGAGCAACCAGGCAAGCCCCCCCCCTTAATCAACCCGATATCGCCTATTCCTTCTCTCTACTGCTTGCATTAGAGTAGTGTAGCATGTTACTGCTTTCGGTTAATTCTATTTTGCTGCACAACCTATCATTGTTGCTACAGTTGTTACCCTTGCCTGCAATCCTAAATGCTTAGTATAGGATGCTAGTATTCCATCAGTGGCTCTACATTCTTGTCCGTCTGCCATGCTATACTACCGGGCCGTGATCATTCGGGAGGTGATCACGGGTATATACTTACATACATATTATATGATAGATGTAGTGACTAAAGTCAGGTCGGCTCGTAGAGTACCCGCAAGTGATCCCAATGTGGGGGCTGAAAGGACAGGTGGTTCCATCCCGGTAGTGGTGGGCCTGGGTTCCCGACGGCTCCCGGCTGTTACTTTGTGGCGGCGCGACAGGGCAGGTTGAGACCACCTAGGAGAGAGGTGGGCCTAGCCCCTGGTCGGCGTCCGCTGTTACATTAATTAACACGCTTAACGAGATCTTGGTATTTGATCTGAGTCTGGCCACTGGCCTATACGCACTAACCAACTACGCGGGAATAGTTATGGGCACTCGACCAACTACGCGGGAATAGTTATGGGCACTCGACCAACTACGCGGGAATAGTTATGGGCACTCGACGTCATGGTATCAGCCGAAGCCTTCTTACCGTCAGCGACTGAGCGGCGCGCGCCGGATTGGACTGGAACGCCTGCTCTTGTATTAGGGAGGCTAGGTCTGCTTCCGGCCACCATCGCAACGTGCAGGTGTGCAATGGGTGATGACCCAGACCCCTGCGCGCTTAGGATCTAGACCGGCATGCTGACCTCTCTGTTGTGCCTAGGTAGGGCTACGACGTGTTGATCTTCCGAGGCCGGGCATGACCCAGGAAAGTGTGTCCGGCCAGAGGGATCGAGCGTGTTGGGTTATGTGGTGCACCCCTGCAGGGAAGTTTATCTATTTGAATAGTTGTGTCCCTCGGTAAAAGGATGACCCGGAGTTGTACCTTGACCTTATGACAACTAGAACTGGATACTTAATAAAACACACCCTTTCAAGTGCCAGATACAACCCGGTGATCGCTCTCTAACAGGCTGACGAGGAGAGGATCGCCGGGTAGGATTATGCTATGCGATGATACTTGGTTAACTTACCATCTACTCTCCTCTACTGCTTCAAGATGGAGGCGGCCAGAAGCATAGTCTTCGATAGGACTAGCTATCCCCCTATTATTCTGGCATTCTATAGTTCAGTCCACCGATATTACCCCTTTACACAGATACCCATGCATATGTAGTGTAGATCCCTGCTTCCGAGTACTTTGGATGAGTACTCACGGTTGCTTTGCTCCCTCTTTTCCCCCTTTTCTTCTTCGGATGTCGCAACCAGATGCTGGAGCCCAGGAGCCAGACGCCACCGTGGACGACGACCCCTGCTACGCTAAGAGTGCCTACTAGTACGTGCAGGCTGCCGATGACCAGGAGTAGTATAGAAGGATCCCAGACAGGAGGCCTGTGCCTCTTTCAATCTGTATCCCAGTTTGTGCTTACCATCTTATGGCACTCTTTTAAACTTATGTCTTTACTCAGATATTGTTGCTTCCGCTAACTCATCTATGATCGAGCACTTGTATTCGATCCCTCGAGGTCCCTGGCTTGTATTATGATGCTTTTATGACTTATTTATTTTTAGAGTTGTGTTGTGATATCGTCTCGTGAGTCCCTGATCTTGATCGTACACGTTTGCGTGTATGATTAGTGTACGGTCAAAACGGGGGCATCACAAGTTGGTATCAGAGCCGACTGCCTGTAGGAATCCCCCTTCCAAACTCCTTGGCCGAAGTCGTGTCTAGTCATTGCAAAACACTTACTAACATAGTTGTGTGTCTTACAGGCCCACGTCGCCAAGAAAGAGAAAAACGAAACTATGAAAACAAAGTCTTCAGGCTTCATATTCCTCGCATGAATATCAAGTCTTCAGGATTGCACCAATTTCTTCACTTTCAAAGTCTTCGGAAAGTCAAAGTCTTCAGTTGAAGACATCCATTTTTAGGGGTCGATTTTCTCTATAAATATCAAACTCCTCATAGACTTATAGACTTGTGTACACTCACAAACACATTAGTCCCTTAACCTATAAGTCTTCAATATATCAAAATCACCAAGGGGCACTAGATGCACTTACAATGGCGATGAATCCCCTCTTAGGAGCCCTAAACGGACACCATATCAGCCTTCCCAATGAAAAACATGATGTGGCAGCGGTTCCATATCGTAAAGCGTGATGAAACTTCTTCTCCTATTTTTTCTTGGAGAAACAAAATTTATAGGCTTGAGATTATGGTCAGCAGAGCCTCTGGGCCCCACAAGGTATCCCAGCATGGCCAGGGGGTGGCCGCGCACTGTTGCCTTGTGGGAAACAGGTGGCCCCCCTCTGGTGGGTCTTGGCTCCAGTATTTTTATATTTTCCATAAAAAATCTCCAAAAAGTTTGTCCAATTCTGAGAACTTCTGTTTCTGCACAAAAAAAGCACCATAGTAGTTCTTCTAAAAACAACATCAGTCTGGGTTAGTTTCATCCAGATCATGCAAATTAGAGTCCAAAACAAGAGCAAAAGTGTTTGGATAAGTAGATAAAATGGAGACGTGTCACTTGGGCACAGTCCGAGCTACTTCTATCGTTTGTTACTCAATAAGTTGTTACCGTCCTTTTCTTCAGTGTGCATAGCGCGAGTCCCTGGTTCGAGTTACGAGAAATTTGTTTCTCCGCCCCAAGTCCACTTGCTTCTCAAATGAATGAAGTTCTTCTTCCATGGTCTATTCCACTCTTGTTCTTTGTTGTAACTGCCATCCTTCAGAGCCCTTCCATTATCACACGTACAACTTGTTCATGCACCGCATTTTCCTCTGCTCTTGCGCTTCTAGTCATCCTACCCGAGGCAAACCCAATGGCATTGGATTCGGCGGATGAAATCGAGGTAAATCTCATTGTATTCTGCTTCATCTTGTTCAAATCACTCTTCAATGATTCTTTTGTTTTGCTGAATCCAAATTTCGTATTCCTAGTACTCAATCTATTACGAATTTAGAGGGCTTTGTAGGCATGCCAATGTTTGGAAGAATAACACCTTCTCCCTCTGTTTTACAACACCTTGAAGAGAAATGATGGTAAGCTCTAACTAACTGCAACATCCATATCCAACTTATGTGCATTGCAGTTCATATCAAACATACGTGCAGACGCCTTCTAGGCGCAAATCCAAAGAGGCACCCCTGGAGGCGGACGACGAGGTCGAATGGATTTCTTGGGGTGGCCTCCACGAGCCAAAGCAGATGGAAGATGCCTTCCATCGCCGGCCTGGCAAGCATGTGCAGCCTCCTGAGCTGCGTGAGCTTGTCTCCAAGAATCACATGAGAGAGACAACAACACCTGAGGAATGACGACGGGGCAAGCAGAGAGACAACGGCGCCGGATCCAAAGACGGAAGTCACAGAAGGGGCCGAAGTGAGGACTGCGAAAGAGAGTGACAACTAGGGTTCTCGCCCAACTAGTCACTCTCTTCGCCCTTACGCGCAACCCAGCCATCCACGGAATACCACGCAAGGGCCAACACGTGAAATCTTGGAACTGCCCTCGACGGCCACCCAAAACTACGGGCGGTGGCACGATCCATGCGCCCCACTAAAACCAACACCGGCCACACCCGCTTCCGCGGTCGATGACAACAGCGGCCCACCCCGCCGACCCCGACTTCCACAGAGAGACAAAATGGTAGAACGTGAGCAATAAATTGGGCACTATTCATTGCTCTCCTCACCGGTCTTGATTCAACGGCTTGGATCAATCGATCTCAAAATCGAATGGTTGGGGGTTCCATTTCTTACGTGGTAATTGGATTGGCATGATTGACCTTCTCCCATAAATAAGCCCGTGGAAACAAGCACCACCGAAACAGAGACGCACCCCTAAAAAAAGCACTTTCCATCTCTTCTCGTTGCTGGATCTTCTTGCAGGGGAGGAAAAAGGGCCGGCGATGGACGGCGGGAAGAAGAGCCGGGACCCGTACAAGCTGCCGCAGGAGCGCAGGGACCGCAAGTCAGGCTCCGGGATGAGCGGCGACGCCAAGAAGGGCGGCCGTGGCGGCAAGTTCACCTGGGAGGGCGCCGACGGCTACACCGACGAGGATCTTGACCTCATCGGCAACAAGGGCAGGGGGACCGGCGCCTCCGACAACAAGAAGTCCTAGGGAGATGGCGACCCCTCCGACGAGTAGGCGCTACGTCATCCGGCCCTGCCCGCCCGTCTTCTTCCTGTCCGATCGATCCCAAGCCTGCACGGTGTCAACTTTCGTTAGCTTTCTCGTGTCTGTTATTAAATAATACGATCGAATCGTGGCCTCTTTGGCATGTACGTACTATATGATCTATTTTCAGTTATCGACTTGCTAATGCCGGATGAATTGTTCTATCTGCATCTCGCACTTGGGATCAACCTGGTCTTATGTTTCTGTGATCTTGTTTTTCCTTCTGCGTTGATTTCTTCTCAATTTACCGAATGGATCTGCTATCGGCGGACGTATGCTGTCTTGGTTGCTGCGTTTAGTCCTTGCTTAGTTGTGATTTCGTAGGAGTGCTATGATCTCTGAATCAGTTGACAGAAGATCCATCGGGATCAGTTCTTTCTTACTTGTCAGTCTTGCATCGAGATTGAAGATGATATATTTTCACCTTCACATACTTGGAAAATTACTGCGTTGTGTGAGTCTTCAAGAGTGGCCATGATCATCCTGGACCACCAATATGATTGATCGTCATCCAACTCTAGCAAATTGTAATACTCCACCCAATCCCAAAATAAGTGTTGTGGTTTAATTCAACCAAAACCGCTTCTTTAAGGGAAACGTTTGGATTCGGCGCGCCAGCACCGGTCACATGTGAGGCGTTGGATCTGACGCATCCGTTGTTTTATATTCCGTCCCGTTTGCCTTGTCCCTTTCCCTCTGGACCCGCCCATTCGTTCCTTTCTCCGCACACATTGTCTTCTACCTCGCGCGATGCAGCAGCCATGGATAACCTCTCGGCCAACCATCTCCCATGCCCATCCACCTTTACCCCACCATGGAGTGTCGTGCTGCTTCCACCCTCCCCCACGCATCTCTTCCCAGCAACTTGATACTACAAGGAGGGAGGGGAGGGCTGGTCAGTAGACGAATACGCGTGGACGCGGCCTGCTTTGAGCGACGAGGACGGCAGCTTTTTGCTCCGACCTGGACTGCCCTGCTACAAGCCCATGCGTAGATGCTACAACTAGCGTAGCAATCTGCTACAACCGGCGTCTCGTTCTGCAACAAGGCATAGCCGGCATCATTTTTTTACTACAACTGGCACTTTGTTCTGCTACAACGCACCACCGGCGTCGGCAGTTCGAGGACGGCAACGCTGCTCCGACCAGCACTTCCCTTCTACAAGCATTGTACGTGATGCATTTTGCTACAACCACACCGGATTTTTGCTACAACGCATCGCTGACGTCGATTTTTTGCTACAACCACGCTCGCTTTTTGGTCCAACCCGCAATTTGTTTTATTACCACGCACCACAGGCATCGTTTTTTTTGCTACAACCACGTTACTTTTTTGCTACAACCGGCGTTGCCATTTGCTACTACGAACCACCGACGGCGGAGAAAAAGCTATGACCGGCGAGTTTGTCTTTTGATGGGACCGGTGGTGATTTTTTGTTGGGACCGGCCGAGTTTCTTCCTGGGATGGTGATGGTTGCTCATCTTTTTGCTGGGACGGCGAAGCTGCACCAGAGACGGGCAGGAGGGATGCGACTGCGAGTGTATAGTATGTAGCAACCGACGACGGCAGGGGCCATGACGGCGTGGTTTGGTGCGTAGATCACGAACGGATGGCGAGACGGTGGGCGTGGTGAAGGCGACAGCGACGGCTGTGAAGGCACCGGTGATGCGTCGACGGCCATGGCGAGATGGCGTGTTGCCGCCGACGAGGCAGCCTGCGGGGGGCAGTTTGTCTACGCAAGGTCAACGATGTTCCCATATCTCTCAATCTGATCTGAGACGAAGTGGTGGGGAAGGGAAAAGATGACGTGGGATTCTGATCTAACGGCCAGGTCCTGGTACGACTGGCGGAGCGCTTCGGCCGGTCGACCGGCGCAGATCAGTGCCCTTTCTTTAATAGTTACTCCTTTAAAAGGATGATGGAGTACCGTCATTACCTCGCGGCCTTCGGATCATCATCTGATCTAGTTGGTCCATTCCTCACCATTGCACCTGGTGTTCCAAGACATGCGAGCCGTGTTCGCCTGTAGGCTCCTTTTGCGTAGCGTATTTTCTGTAACCATGCGTGTATCGTCTCCCACGCTTGTGTATGGATCAAATGTTTGGCCTGCTAGGTCTCATGTCTTTGCTGCCGGACTCGTCCTTACTTTTTCTCTTTCGATGCACCTTCTGAAGTACCCACACGCTTGTGTGTGTGGATCAGATGTTTGGCCCGCGAGGTTGCTGGACCCGTCTTTATTTTTTCTCTTTCGATGCACCTTCTGAAGTACCCGCCTATACAGCGACATATGATCTATTTGGCCCATTGGGTCTCATGTATTTGTTGTCGGACATGTCCTTATTTTTTCTCTTTCGATGCTCCTTCTTATATTCCCACCTATACAACAGCGCCCGATCGACCCTCTTTTTGTGTAGTTGGTTGTTTGGACGCTAATGGGGCTACCTGGATGGTGGAGGCTATCTGGTCTGCTCATCATGTATCTCTTCTTTCTTTCTTGGATTACCTCTTCTTTTGTTTTCATGTGTTGACTAATTTGGAGTTGCATCTTTTGCGCCGCTTCTTTGTGTAGCATCTCTTGCGTTGGTGTGTGGGAGGAGGGGGTCAGGCATTTGGCCTGTCGCGTCTCGTGTTGGGGAACGTAGCATAAATTCAAAATTTTCCTACGTGTCACCAAGATCTATCTATGGAGTCATCTAGCAACGAGGGAGGAGTGGATCTACATACCCTTGTAGATCGCGCGCGGAAGCGTTCAAGAGAACGGGGTTGATGGAGTCGTACTCGTCGTGATCCAAATCACCGATGATCCCAGCGCCGAACGGACGGCACCTCCGCGTTCAACACACGTACGGAGCAGCGACGTCTCCTCCTTCTTGATCCAGCAAGGGAGGAGGAGAGGTTGATGGAGATCCAGCAGCACGACGGCATGGTGGAAGTAGCGGGATTCCAACAGGGCTTCGCCAAGCGCTGCGGGAGGAGGGAGATGTGTCATGGGAGGGAGAGAGAGGCGCCAGGGCTTGGGTATGGATGCCCTCCCTTCTCCCCACTATATATAGGGCCAAGGGAGAGGGGGAGGGCGCAGCCTAGCCCCTTCCTCCAAGGAAGGGTGCGGCCAAGGGGGGGAGGAGTCCATCCTCCCCAAGGCACCTCGGAGGTGCCTTCCCCCTTTAGGACTCTCCCCTTTCCCTCTCTCTTGGCGCATGGGCCTCTTGGGGCGTGTGCCCTTGGCCCATATAGGCCAAGGCGCACCCCCTACAGCCCATGTGGCCCCCCGGGACAGGTGGCCCCACCCGGTGGACCCCCGGGACCCTTCCGGTGGTCCCGGTACAATACCGGTGACCCCGAAACTTGTCCCGATGGCCGAAATAGCACTTCCTATATATAATTCTTTACCTCCGGACCATTCCGGAACTCCTCGTGACGTCCGGGATCTCATCCGGGACTCCGAACAACTTTTGGGTTACCGCATACTAATGTCTCTATAACCCTAGCGTCACCGAACCTTAAGTGTGTAGACCCTACGGGTTCGGGAGACATGCAGACATGACCGAGATGACTCTCCGGTCAATAACCAACAGCGGGATCTGGATACCCGTGTTGGCTCCCACATGTTCCACGATGATCTCATCGGATGAACCACGATGTCAAGGACTTAATCAATCCCGTATACAATTCCCTTTGTCTATCGTTACGACACTTGCCCGAGATTCGATCGTCGGTATCCCGATACCTTGTTCAATCTCGTTACCAGCAAGTCTCTTTACTCTTTCCGTAACACATCATCCCGTGATCAACTCCTTGATCACATTGTGCACATTATGATGATGTCCTACCGAGTGGGCCCAGAGATACCTCTCCGTTTACACGGAGTGACAAATCCCAGTCTCGATTCATGCCAACCCAACAGACACTTGCGGAGATACCTGTAGTGTACCTTTATAGCCACCCAGTTACGTTGTGACATTTGGCACACCCAAAGCACTCCTACGGTATCCGGGAGTTGCACAATCTCATGGTCTAAGGAAATGATACTTGACATTAGAAAAGCTTTAGCATACGAACTACATGATCTTTGTGCTAGGCTTAGGATTGGGTCTTGTCCATCACATCATTCTCCTAATGATGTGATCCCGTTATCAATGACATCCAATGTCCATGGTCAGGAAACCGTAACCATCTTATTGATCAACGAGCTAGTCAACTAGAGGCTTACTAGGGACATGGTGTTGCCTATGTATCCACACATGTATCTGAGTTTCCTATCAATACAATTCTAGCATGAATAATAAACGATTATCATGAACAAGGAAATATAATAATAACTAATTTATTATTGCCTCTAGGGCATATTTCCAACAGTCTCCCACTTGCACTAGAGTCAATAATCCAGTTCACATCGATATGTGATTAACACTCAAGGTCACATCCCCATGTGACTAACACCCAAAGAGTTTACTAGAGTCAATAATCTAGTTCACATTACCATGTGATTAACACTCGATGAGTTCTGGGTTTGAACATGTTATGCTTGTGAGAGATGTTATAGTCAACGGGTCTGAATCTTTCAGATCCGTATGTACTTCGCAAATCTCTATGTCATCTTGTAGATGCAGCTACTACGCTATATTTGGAGCTATTCCAAATAACTGTTCTACTATACGAATCCAGTCTACTACTCAGAATAATCTGGATTAGTGTCAAAGTTTGCATTGGCGTAACCCTTTACGACGAACTCTTTTACCACCTCCATAATCGAGAAAAATCCTTAGTCCACTAGTTACTAAGGATAACTTTGACCGTTGTCCTGTGATCCATTCTTGGATCACTCTTGTACCCCTTGACTAACTCATAGCAAGGCACACTTCAGGTGCGGTACACAGCATAGCATACTATAGAGAGCCTATGATAAAAGCATAGGGGACGACCTTCGTCCTTCCTCTTTCTTC